TTTTAGAATAGGTGATAACTGGAATGTCATTGTTCCCAAGTGAACTAGCTCAAATATTTGATGACAAAGAATGCAAATTAATGATATTCCGATTTTTGATATGTTCTGAAGCCAGAAATGAAGACGAAGTTCCATTAGCAGTCGAAAATGATTGAACAATCAGTTCTTCAGTTTGAAGAGAAGCTTGCAATCGTTGTTGTTTACGTCGGCCAGCACTACATCCTCGTCGTCTGAGCTTCTCTCGAGATATTCCAAAATTGCATAAATTACGCCATGTGAAGGAGTTAAGCTTAATATTAGATAAATTAGCGCCAAGTTCTGCCAGAAAACGTCTTGAATAGGTAGTTACCATTGTTAACAATCCAGTTAAGTGCAGCTTTGATTATTAAGAATAACATAAAAGCAGAAAAACGAAATTAATCAGGAAAAAGCTGGTTGTGCTRCAATGAAGCGCTCAACCATGAAACATGAACAAAGATKATCCAYAAGGTCTTAAGGCAGGTCTAGAAGCAATCACCCCACACACATTCGGAGATCACTGCAATTGCAAGCACAATTGGTGCAAGTTCAAGGAGGATCCAAACAATTACAAGCATAGTAGTCTACCAGGAGGTCGACCAATGAAGGGAGAGGAGCTACGAAATTGGCACAGAGCACATGGCATCATTCAGTAGCAACCAAGCAGTAAGGAAGCTAGCGCCCCTTGGATCATCACAGAGCAACGAGTGCTTGAATGGCATCGTGTCGACGAAAACCCCCAAATCAAGATTTTATGGTGGATCAGAAAGTAATGATTTTCGAGTTGCAGCTTCAGTCGCTCAGTTCAACGAAGGCTACACCTACTTAGAGCASGTCCAAGAACAGCTGTCATCTGAAAGTAAACACCAACGCCCAAACTTACAGTCCTACATCAACACGATGGATAGAAAGAGGCAACAACAACATCAACGAAAATCCAAACTGCAAACAAAAGCGCGTCGTCGTCATCTAAAGACAAAAAAAGCATCGAAACAAAAAAGGCTGGAGCAAAATGAAGGACCCRCTTATCAAACTGGGATAGGGTTCACGGACGACATAACTGCTGAGGAAGTGGAATCAGTGTGTGCTGAGACGTCWGATGGTCATCATGAAGTCCAGAGKTTTCTTGAACAGAAGCAACWCATTAAAGGCGTCACTAAAGCTAATCTWCAAAATGTCCCTTTCAACGATAAAGAACGCACCGCAGTGATGCTTACTTTCGATTTGGAGACAACAGGATTTTCAGCAAATGCTGAAATATTGCAGTTRTCTTGTGTAAATTTAAACAGAGACGACACATTTTCGAGATTCATAATTCCAAAAGGGCATWTCACTGCTGCTGCAACAAACGTCCACAAATTAACAGTTGGTCTTCATAAAGGTCAACGATCTCTTTTCAAAGATGGCAACGTTGTACAGGCTACAAAGCTGTATGATGCCTTAAAGAGCTTCGACGACTTTATAATGGCTCTACCGCAAGAAGAAATACTCCTTGTTGGACATAATGCTAAATCTTTTGATGCTCCTCGGCTGGTAAATGCCATTAAAACCAGTGGAATCCTACTAGAAACTAAACACCAGAAAAACATCTAAATAGGCGAGTCTTTAGATGCACTGAAGAAACATTTGAGAAAGAAGAATGTCAAACTCGAAGATGTCTACAGGGAAGCGATGGGATCGCAATTCGATGCCCATGATGCTCTATAAGATTGCATTGCTCTCAAGAAGGTATTAAACCATTACGGCCAACAAGTAATCGGCACAATTAAAGAATCGGCAAAGACACTAAACTGGTACATGAGTCTTCAGGACCGAAAAAGGGCTGTATCGGCTATCGCCAACACATACGAAGGCAAGATATCAGGCGCGAAAGCGGCAGTCAACAGACTGGCCGAGCTTCGAATACCTTTTACGTCATTAAGGTTGGCCTACGAGCAATGCGGCAAAGCACGTTTGATTGCATTTCTTGTTTCAAAGAGTGGAAGAAAAATTGTAGTTACCAGGAACTCCCACAAAATAAACAGCATTCTAAAATGCCTCAAATTCAAATGAAAAGCAAAGAACAAACTTTACTGAACTCATGTGGTCAGCAATCA